ACCCAGAAAAACAAATGTAAGTAGGAAATCATACTGTGTAATCAAATGTTTTTACTGCATGAAGAAAGGTCACTCAGTAAAATATTGTAGAATCAAAAAGTATGTTATTCCTAAAGGAAGAATGAAATGGATTCCAAAGTTAAAATTATTTCAAATAACCTAACTGGACCCAGTAACTATAAAGGGTAGCAGAAAAATGCTAAATTTGTTTTGCAGGAACAAAATCTGGGAATCCCTTGAAGTTCAAAGCAGCGAATCAGGTTCTGTCTTTCCTAAACTGATTGTTTTAATTGATATAAAACAATCTTAATCGATTAAAATAACTTACAGAAGATATCAGAAAATCTGTCCGTACCATTTTAATCGATTAAAATGTCGAATTAATCGATTAAAATGTTCTCTGGATTTGAGTTTGGCTGTTTTAATCGATTAAAAAGAATTTATATCAACTAAAAACACTAATATGTCAAATTTAATCGATTCTTTTTTGTTTTAATCGATTAAACTTTTGTTATCATCCTATACAAGACTAATCGATTCCTTTTTAAGTTAATCAATTAATTTTGAATAGCGGCTAGACAATCATGAATAATACCGAATGAGTCTCGGACATGTATGATTCAAGTAGTCTGTTATGGAATATTCAATTTCCTTTCAATGGCACAAATTTTCATGATTGGAAAGCGAAGGCTGAACAAATCTTTGAATTGGAAACTAGACTAGTGGAATAATGTGGGAAAGTTATTACTGTTATCCATGAATGGAAAAGTCTTTTATTTTGACAACAACATAGACATGATTCAAGCTGTAGATGTCTACATTTCTCTTAATACTTTACATGGAATGTTGCGTGGTAATACGTTGCAAATCAAAGGAATTATCAAGAAGTAGACTGTCCCTTTTCTTATGGACACTAGTGACAAATGGGTCAAGTTGGTGGGACTGAAAACATAGTTTATCAAGGATTTTTCAGTGATGGTTGCTTCTGATAATAAGTTGTTGATTACTAGGAAGTGTGACCAGATAACTTGGAGATTCAATGAACACACGTCTACATTAGATTTCTTGATATTACCTAGCAATATATTTGGAATAATTTTGGGCATGCATAGGTTCAAGACTCTTGGTGAAATTCATTGGAATTGTGCAACTTTGATAATTCGTTTTAATCATCAAAGTCACGAGGTGACACTATAACGAAACCAATCTGTGTCAGCAATTCAAGAATTGAATGGAAAGCTAAAATTGGCACACGGTATGTGTGTTTTGTTGGAAGTACAGGGATAAATGATCTGGCATCCTTAACAACAAACCAACAAGAGGATCTTTTCAGTGATTCTAAAGAAGTTTCAGATGTTATTGTGGAACCAACATAACTGTCTTCCCTCAATGAAGGCAAATTTCGTGACAAATATGATGCTTTTTGATGCCCATGATAATAGTGATGTATGAAATATGTATGGATATGGTTATTGACAGGGGATTTCTGGATTGTTGTCATCACTAGTTCTGTTTTGTATGCATGTGTTCCAATATATGATACCACTGGAAACAACAAAGTTGAAGAAAATTCATTCCTCGTGAGATAATGATGACTGATCCATTTGAAGGGAGGAATAACACGCTATCATTTCCTTCATACTACATTAAGAATGCGGTTATTTGCTTGAATGGTGATGACTGCAAGGTTTGAAATGGGTTGGCTACTATTAAAGGAGAGTCTGATCTCGGTACATCATTAACTCTGTGATTCATGCGATTTATGGTATCGTGCATTCTGTGTGGGATTTGATACCGAAAGTACGTCGGTCAAGTACATGGTTTTGCCTCTAATGTGTAGTAGATGATAATTCCATTATAAGGTCAACCGTGGACTGTAATACAGACAATAGTAACAAGTAAATGTCATGCAAAAGATTACTTTACAGGAAAAGTTTTTGTGTCTATTGCTGATACAGGAGAGACAGTTGTTGGTGTCTTAATGGTTGATAAAGCAAAATTGGTTCCAGCAAAAAGTGAAGCCTATGGCCTTTTAAAGTTGGTAGGGATCAAATGACTGAGTCATGAATTTTTATATCCGACACAAATAATCGTGGAAGTATGGATAAAAAGGGTCCCTTCTCATCTTTCTTTACTCGCTTATTTTTTATGCTTATTTTTCTGGGTCCGTAATATTACTAGTTATATACTGCACACATTATCTTTAGCTTTGAATTAATATAATGTAGGTTTAATTCAATTCAAACTAGCATAGATAGAATTCAATATAGATCCCCGAGAGCTTTAGTCGATACAAGATCGAATTAATCGATTAAATTTATTAAAAGGAACACTTTTCATAACAAAACAATCGATTATAACTTCAGTATCAATTGATTAAAATCTTTAAAAATTAGCTTACATCAAGTATAATTAGCTAAATAAGATCTTATTGTGATTTTGATGGATCTATTAGTGAAAATTTAATCAATGTAATTGATATTGTCGTTAAACACCCTTCTAGATGATCAATTTTACAAAGCATCTACTAGATTAATGATGATAAATTCGTTTCAAACATTTCATAGTTTTCAAAACTGGGTATTTTAATCAATAAAAAATCTTTTAAATCGATTAAAAGAATTTATACAACATTTTTCTTTACTGTTTTAATCGATTAAAAGTCGAATTAATCGATTAAATTCACTAATGTTTCATATCTTTGAAATTCTTAAAGGTTTTAATCGATTAAAATTTTATTTCAATCGATTAAAATCATTAACAAGAACATTTTAATCGATTCTGTCCTGTTTTTAATCGATTTTTATTCTGGAAAGAAAAATTAAAGGCTTTAGTTAATGGTTGTTCTTGTAACATGCTACTAAAGTGTGATTCCCTTATCTTTACACGTGTTAATTGTATTCATTACAAGCGTGTTAATGAAGATAAGTTTGAATCAACTTTGATTGATCTTCACATGAGTAAAATATCGTATTTCTAATTTTTTCTATTTCTACAAATCCTTTCAATACATACCTATACATTGCTTCTCTTCTATTCCCTATTTTTTTTTATGAAGTCAAAAGGGGGAGAAATAGTTGCTTTTACTTTTGATAAAGTTAAAGGGAGAAATAACTCTTTATTTAGGGGGAGCAACAATTTAGGGGGAGAAATAGGAAGATAATTCATTTTTGATTACTCACTAATCTGTATTATCAAGTGACTTCTTTTGCAGAGTTTTGTTTTCAAAAGTGGTGTTTGTCTTCATCAAATAGGGAGAGACTGAAAGTGATGAAGATCTTATTGAAATACATTAGCAAAGATCTCATTGATTTGATGAAGTCAAAGATGAAGTCAAAAGTCAACTTTGCAGCGGTCAACAAGTCACTTTGATAAAAGAGTAGAAAGATTAGTGTGTCTACAAAATGCTTAGGTAAAATCATTTTATCTTTTCTGCTGCATGAGGTTTCTTCACTTAAATGATTTTGCAAAATGCCTCTAAAATCATTTTAAACAATTAAAAACAAAGTATTTTGACAAAAGATTTCTCAAACATGTTTTTAACTGATATAGTTTTGAAAGAACCAATTAAAATCATTTAGAATGTTCAAAGAAGTGTTTTTACAATATTTTAATCGATACAACTTGATTTTAATCGATTAAAACCATTTAGAACTCATTATGATCGATCAGAATACAAATATGACCGATCAGAATCAGATGTGATCGATCAGATTTGAATTATGAGCGATCAGAATTTTTTCAATCGATTAAAACATGTTTCAATCGATTAAAATCACTTAAAGGTTCAGGATGATCGATCAGAATGCAATTATGACCGATCAGAATCAGTTATGATCGATCAGAATTGACTTATGACCGATTAGAACTCTTTCAATCGATTAAAACACGTTTTAACCGATTAAAACAACTTGGAAAAATTATGTACAGAGTTTTAATCGATTAAAACCTATTTTTATCAGTTAAAATAACTTGAAAAGTTTTACAAGAAAGTTTTGCAGTATTTAAATCGATTGAATCGCGAAACAATCGATTAAATAAACTTAGAAGATTTTCTGTAAAGTGTTTTAACTGATATAAACGTTGTCGTATCAGTTAAAACAAATCTGTTAAAGAATCAAGAACAGATCTTTAAACTTGATTTTCGAATTAGATAATCTGTTATTTGCGAAAAACTTTTAAAGATCAATTCACCCCCCTCTTGATCTAAAACTACTTTTCTAACAAAAATAATAATCAACCTCCCACAATTATAAACCTTCAACTAAAGGTCCAATATACATCCAAATTACTACATCTGAATGAAACTATTACCAACCTAATAAAAAATGCTTTAGACCCAAACTATTGAACAAAATTTCAGTAGCATAACCACAACAAAATGACATAAACCATCTATAGGACCCACGGTCCTTAACAGTCTAGAAAATATTTTTGACAGATCAATACATATATTCATTTCAAAAACCAAAAATTCCAAATAAGAGACTCCCACAAAAAAAAAAGAAACCTGCAGATGCACATCAATAGAAATCTGGTCAAAATCTTGCAGACCAAATTAATCAAAGACCAAAATCTCAAAGGGAAGCAAAACTAAACCATCAGAATAAGAAACAAGTACCCTACTCAGAAATGCAATACCAGATCCGAATAAGACGGAGAAATAAAGCAAATAAAGCAAAAGGAAACTCAAAGCATGGATCCCGAGCCTCGAGTTCAACCTCCATCAGGAAGATGGATCATGGCCTCACCTTCGAGCAGGGGACTCGGTGCTGCTCCAGGGACACCACTTGCAATAGCTGCGGGTCGAGTGGGAAGGTGGCTCACTTTGAAGGCGCGCGGTGGTTGGCGCGACCAAGACCTGTGGTAGCCATGGTGAGGGACGTGATAATTTGCGCGGGCAAGACCAGTGGTGGTCATGGTGACGGATGTGATGGTTTAATGGAGACACGTCTCACGGTGGTCCGTAGTTGAATGATGGATCGCGATGGCGGCTAGGGTTAGTGGCGGAGGCTGTGAGGCACGGCGGAGGCACGATGTTTTGGGTGGTAACAGAGGGGAAAGAAAAGGGGTTTCGACTGTGACTTGGTGAGGGTGGAGGGAGCTACTAGTGAAGGTGGAAAAGCTTTATTGAGGCTGGGAAGTGGCTCGGCCAGTGGTGGCTCACGGCGGTTGAAGGTGGGTGTTAGATTGGGGTTGAGGTGTGGGGTTGGCAGCGCGGCCAAAGCCGATGGTGGCATGCCACGCGGTGGCTGGGTGACTAGACGGTGAAGGTTGGGCATGACTGGAGGCTAGGGCTGGATGGAGGATGGTCGTGGTGGTGGCCTGGCGATTTAAGGATCGCGGGTTAGTTGAAGAAGATGGAATTGGTGAGAGGGAATGGGGGAAGCGGCTGGTCCCGCTACTAGGATGAGAGTGGGTGAGAGTGAGGGTATGGAAATGGGAAGTGAAGGTGAGGGTGAGTGGAGGCTAGCCAATCCCTCCTTTCCTCTTCACTATTTCCCATTTTAAAGTAAAAAACTAGGTTAAAATTTTGAGATCTAGGTTAAATACCGTTGGGCCCAAAAATAGAATTGTCCCTTTCTTTTTTTCCTTCAAATTATGATATATATACATATTTTTTCTTTTTTCTTTTTTTTTCTTTTTTTTTTCAAACCTCTCTATTTATCTAGAGGTCTCACCTCTCTTTTATATTATATTTTTATTATTTATTATAATTTTTAGAAGTTTGAATCATTACCAAATTTCGTTCGGGTATATAAAAATAAAATAATCAACAGTAGCATTTATTTTGAAAATATGAAAAAAAGGAAAGAAGGATAAACATAAAAAGGTGGTTTCTTTCACTACTTTAGAATATGCTTTCCACGTCATCATTTAACGTCAGTTAAAGCTGAACCGACGTGGAAAGTCTTTTATTAACACATTCAACATCAATTTTTAATCAACCGACATTGAAAGTACTTTCTACGTCGCCTCAGCTTTAACCAACGTTAAATGACGATGTGGAAAACATATTCTGTAGTAGTGAAAGAAACCACCTTTTTATGTTTATCCTTCTTTCCTTTTTTTCATATATTCAAAATAAATGCTACTATTGATTATTATTTTATTTTATTTTTATATACCCGGACGAAATTGGGTGCTGGCACTATATTTTGAGAAATAGTGTAACAGACAGTCTAGAGGTTGGGATCAGGTAAGATAATTAATATTTATTTAAAGATGATTAGGTACAATAATTATACTTATGAAAATTTATTTATCATATTGTAGTTTTTTACGGACACATCTCCCATGGATACAGATGTCATACATTATATTAGACGCACATAGACAACATACTTCATTAACACTATTCATTCATCATAATAGCCTAGTTTTATGACTATTTACATGGTTGAACCTTAGGATATTTAGGATAGTTTCCTAATCATACTTATAGGAGTTATAATAACTTTGTAGGATTTATAGTAAAACTAATATTATATAGTAAATATTGTATATACTTATGATTTTGTATTACTGTAAATATGCCTGAAATTTGTATTTGATTTTGTATATTTGAATACGCAAGAAATGGGAAAAAACCTACACTACTGCAGAAAAGGCTTTTTATGTCAGTTAAAATTGGCTTTCGATGTCGGTTAAAGTGGCGAGATAGATACAGGGGTCATAGAAAGTAAGACTTTCTACGTCGGTTCCCTGACTAACCGACGTAGAAAGTCTTACTTTCTATGTCGGTTTACACTGATAACCGACATATAAAGTCTTACTTTCTATAACTCCTCTATCTATATCGGTTAATAGTAAACGTGATTGTATGTGATATCAATGTCGGTTATGCTTATAACCGACATAAAATGTTAAACTTTCTACGTCGATTATGTCATTAACCGACGTGGAAAGTACTTTCTACGTCGAATAATGACATAACCGATGTAGAAAGTTTGTATTATTTTTTTACAGAACTTGCATTTTCTTCATAGATCCTACCTTTCTTCGAGTAGACCTGCCTATTCATCATAGTTCCAGAAAGATATTCACAGTTCCAAACACTTGTACAAACAGATATGCACAGTTCATAGTTCTAGACAGATATGTACATATGAAACATATTGAAATCAATATATTTACCTCATAGTTTCAGACAGTTCATTTACTTAAACAAATGTAAATTTGCTAACTTAAATCAATTCAGTCAAATTTGCTATGAAGATTGAATACTTAAAAGGAAAGAAGCCCACTGCTCTCTAATATCGTCTAACACTTCAATCTTCAATGGAGATGAGTCTCTAAAATCCTACATATTGAAACATTTCAAATTTAGAAACCATTTACATAATTGGCATATTTGACTTACTTATAGTATATTTACCTCCCTCCATGAGTCAATAATATTTGTGGATACGATGGTGTGCATGTGCTTCATCACATAATACCTGCACTCATGGTTTCCCAGTTGGCGTGGACACTACAAGTTATATACATGTCAGATTAACTTTAAATGACAAATTGAACAACAGTAAGAGGAATGTTTGGTCACCTTTGGTGCAATATACGTCAACTTCTTTCTAGCATGATATGGAAGGCCTTGCAACATAAGGTGAGCTTCCAAAGCTCTACAAAAGGACAAAAATTAATTATAATAGAACCCAATTTTGGTGTAAGTGCACATATGATACAACAATTAAAAACAAACCAAACTTACGCGTCTATGTGCTTTCTAATATCCAAATCATTTGGTTTCTTGTGTAATGAACAAAAGAGAATCACAAGAAATTGTCGAGGAACAATGATTATGAGCTGCCAATGACCCCTGCACGTTGAAATAATATTAGTAAAATTTCAGTTTACATAAATGTGCATTAATTTATAAAATGTATACTTACTGATGCAAGTAAGGTGCTAAGTAGACTTCTTTGCCCCCATTTTGAAATGTCTTTATTAAGTACGGTTGCACCTCTTCAGCTTTATTTCCAACGGACTGAATGGCAACAGGGTAAATAAATCCATAGATAAAGGCAATCTTCCTCTCAACACACAAACGATGTAAATACCTTCAACATTGAAAATAAATAAAGTTATAAAATAATGTACCAGTGAGAATATAAAAAATATGTAAATTTACTTACAATTCCCAAAGCTGCAACACTGATATTTACTTCTTTCTTATTATCTCTTTGTCCCAAATCGATGGCCTAAGTTTTTTCCTGATGGGGCTGTATCAATTGAGCTTATTTTTTCAACAGTCTTTGCATGTCCGGGGAAATGGTCTCCTCCTCACTGTCTGACTCAATCCATTCGCCTTTGGCTTTCAGATCCCGTAGAGAGTTTTCAATCATAGACATGACTGTTTATATGGTCCTTATTTGGGTTTAGATTTTATTTAATTATTTTGGAGTGAGAGAGAAAAGAATGAGAAAAATATGCACATTATGTAAAATGCCTCATTGTATTGATGAAAAGAGAAATATATACAGAGCCTCTTTAATCAAAAGATCTCGCGACCATGATGCATCGAAAGCTTTTTATTATTTTTTTTTATATTTATTTATGTTTATTATATTTTTTTAATGAGGAGCCCTAATCAACTGGTCTTCCCCATCATTCCGGTTGAGACAGAGGCGTGTCGTCCACCTAAGGGTCGGGAGCATTGAAAGTAATCCACCCGGCATTCAATAATTCTTGAACCCTATATTTTAAGTTAATGCAATCTTCCACAGAATGCCCAGGAGTGCCTGAGTGGTAATCACATTTTTCATTGAGCTTGTACCAACTGGGGTAAGGTGGATCTTTCTTCTTCAGAGGGATACGTGTTAGGATCTTGGCCTCTAACAGCTTTGGCAGCAGACTCCCATAAGAGATTGGAATGGGGGTGAATTTCTTCTCTTGTCTGCGTGACTGCCCAGCTGGTGGCGAAGAGAGAGAAGGAGTAGCAAGGTTTATGGCATTTACGCTCCCCTCTTTCTTCTTGCCAAAGGACTTCTTGAATGATACGTGAGACTTCTTAAATTTGGGAGGGGATTGAGTATTTTCGACATCGGTTACCTCCTTTAAATCAAAGTTGTGTCCCTCTAATGCCCTTAATTTCTCTTCTAGGGCAAAAGTTTGTTGTTTGGAAACCTCATTGTGAAGGCATTGTCGGCGTATTAGTTCCATTAAATACACCATCTGCTCTTTTACGAAGTTAAACTCGGTGGTGAGCCTGTTGTTTTGTTTCTCTAACTGCTCCTTTATGGCATTAAGCTCAGCGGAGAGCATACAGTTCTGCTCCTCTAATTGCTCTATTTTCTTGACTTTTTGAGCGCGAGTGAGAACAGGTAGAAGACCAGCCACTTTCTAAATGATTTAAAGATTTTTATTATTATATCTTTTTTATTATGAATGATCAGTGTGGGATAGATATGCCTTAGATTATAGCTTTGGTGTTTTCCTAAAAGCTTATCCTTTAGTGAGTACCATACCCACCTTGGTGTGATGGTTCCCCTTTTTTTTTTCAAAAAGGTTACCATCTAGGAAGGTTATAAACGCACTTGGGTCTCTTTCACTATTATCTAAGGATATCTAATGCATCCTAGAATGAGTGTGTTTATGCATGCACTACAAAAATACTTTTTATGATGGCAAATATTGAAAGTGGGATAACTTTTGACTGGGATGTCCGATTTGGACGCACAACGTGTCAAAACGAAGAGAAAAAGGTGAAGAACCAAGCTACAAATTTCGAAAGGGGATTTGGCCTATAATTTTCCCAAAAAAACGCTCCTAAGACCCACTTTTTAGAGGTTTATTAAAATGATGTGTATGCATGCTGCATTTATTTTCTCTCTTGGCTTTTTCTTATGAAATGATGTTGTATGAATGATACGACTTTGCCAAGAATCTTTTTATTGTTAGAGGTATTTTTATTGCTTTAAATTGTTTTTTTATTTTTTATAACCCTTTATCTCTTCTGTTGGTCAACGTGACTACTTAGCTTACAAAGAACCTGAAGTCAGACTAGCTTAAATGAAGACTGTCCGAGATAAAGTTGGTTTATTCTTATCACTTTTATGGTTTTTAGGGTTTTTATTATTTTTTGTCTGTTGTATGATTACCCTATGCTAATGCATCAATACAAATGCAGCAAACGAATGCACACACAATTCATTCATCCACGAGCAGAGCCACGCTAATTTCAAGGTGGGGTTTTCCTATAGAAACGTGCTTGGTTTAGGTGGTTCTAAACTATTCTCACCAAGGCCAAAGGTCCCCAAGGTGCCCCCATTATAGGGACCTC